TCCTCCTTGGGATCCTTTTCGGGATCCTCCTCGATTTGTTGTTCGGGCTCTTCATCAATCCATCCCGCATTTCCCTGATCAGGAAAGTACGGGTTCCCAGGTATGTGAAATCCTGCCATGTTGTCTACACGAGAAACGGGGGGGGGGGGGGGTAAGAAGCACATATCGGATAATAATAATAACATGGCGCTATAGCAATGTACAAATACTCCTATAGTATTTTAAATGTTTATATTTAGTTCTTAGAGTATTCATTGTAGAGTGAAGTTAGGTTATTAAATTTTTCGCCCATTACGACTATCCCCCAGTATGCGTAAGTCACTTCTCGGACGGATATAGTTGATCAGGCTATATCCTTCCCAGAACTGATTACACATGCTAAGGCATACTCGTAGTTTTCGACTCCTCCTCTTTCACTTTATGTTCTCCTTAGTTATGACACTATGCGAGTATATAATGCATGTAGGTATACTTTTAAACAAGAAACTATTCATTTTCTAAAAGTATAACCCGTTAAAATGTTTTAAAGTCAGAGACTTTTAGTCCTAAATGTGTTTATAGTTTGTATATCTTATGTGGTTTGATATACTTAATTCACTATAAACCGTGCTCTGATACCAATCTGTCACACCCCCAAACCAAGGATGGCGGAAACGTCCAGGGGTGGAGGACTTCATGTATAGTATCATAACCACAATTGCAATAGTAATTTAAGCAAACACAACCAACATAGCTATAATTAAAATAGTTACATCATTGTATGAATTACATGTTTCCAAGTCAATTACAATATGTTGACAAAATATGAAATGTTGACGCCTTAACGTCCCATCCTGAAAATGCACTTTGATACCTGTTTAGTGATTTCCTGAGAATACAAGTTGTATGAAAAAGTGTGAACACAAAGGTTGGTGAGTTCATAAGCTTTTGTTTTGAAAACTTGATAAAAGTCTTTCTGTTGTAAATGTCATGTTTGTTTCAGAAAATCCAATATTTTCCTTAAAATGTGTAATGTAGTCTTATATCCGAAGACCAAAATGTATAAGTGACCTCTCTTACTGATAGAAAATGATGTAAGTTTAAATTGAAATAAACGCATTTGAATTCAATGAAATTCCCGTGAATTCTTATGTTTGTTAATACTTTTTGTGAGTTATTATAACCATGCTATGACCTAGTTGGCCTGAAACGACGTTCTTCAGGCGTCGGAAATGTTATGACATTTGTCACCTTGGGCCTGCCGGTCTAGCTGTTGCATGCAAATCAGGTGTGGGTTTGTCAATCCCAATATAGATCTATATACAACTATCACGCTCTCCCTCCAGGAGACTCTGGTTACAATACAGGACTTAACGGTAAATGTGAAGCGAATGTCTCACAAAGTTATTAACAAATTTACGTGTAATGAAGTGAAAATCCCTTTTCGTATAAATGTACCCCTTTGAAATGTATGAGAGTGTTATCTAATGCATCATAAACTATACCTATTATAGTTTATCAAAACAAGGGTATTAGTAGTAATGTACGTAAACTATCTTTAACATAGTTCATTCAAACGCTCGTGTGAAATGGATGTACTTTGATTATAACAATTTGTTATCTTTTATATATGTATCAAAATCAATTTACAAACTGATGTATGTCTGTATACCAAGACAAAATGTCATTTAATGCAATAACATATAATCACACAAAGATATACACCTTGCTCAACATGTTACAAGGTGTAATGAAATTGATTGCATTTTTCTGTTGTTAACAATTTCTACTACTGTTCTTAGAAAATTTGTAGAAAAATCATCAAAGGTCCAAATCAGAATCCGTAAATTCTGGGAGTTTGGAAAATGCATCTAGTTTGTTCATAAATTTTCTCACGATTTTTAGTGACCTCCAACTTAGGTGAAAACGTCCATAATCACAGACTGGTCCGAATTGTTTCTCAAAATGATAGACAGTTTTGTAAAAATCACCAAATATCGTAGAAAAATCGTGTGGAGATGTGCAAGTAGTCATTTTAAAGCTAAGAACTGGAACTACATGAAACTAAGACATTTTTGAATTCTAAAATGTTTAAGTGGTCCAAAAGAGTTCGTGAATGGAGTTGAACTTTTCTGATGAAGGCTGTTTAATGAGTCTAGTTGTGTTCTTGGTGTTTAACTTATATTCCCCCCTTAAAAACTTAAGAAAAACATGAAAAGATAGGGGTATGAACTCACCTTGAGTGATTTCAAAAGATGGATGATGGAGATATGTAGTATTCCACTCAAGAACACTAAGAGGATGTCTTGAAGGTTCGAAGATCTATCATTAATGTGATGGATTTTATGTAACAATCGATGATTGGAGTAGAATGAAGTGTAATAATCACAAGGAGGATGAATTATACTTACCAAGGGAAGAATAAAACTTAAAGATCAGTCTTGAGTCTCGAATTTTTAGAGAGAAATAGTGAGAGAAAGTTGTTTGATCTTTTGGGTAAAATAAGAGAAATGAGCAAAATGAGGAGTGTGAAATGTTGTTCCAGCTCTAATAGTGTGGAAAAAGGTTAACCTGGGTATGGTGGGAGGAGTATGGCTGGTTATGGATGGGTGTGAGGGGTTGCTTGTGTCATAAGTTAAAGATAAGTCAACACTCCAGCCCCTTGTACTTCATCCACTAAATTTTATTCTTTAAATAAAGATTTCCATGAAAATATGTTTAAATTATGAATATTTAGAGTCTTTTATATTAAAATATGATTTTTGGAGAAAATCCCGTGTTAAAATCACGAAAAACGGGCTCAAATTGTGAAAATGGTCAAAAATCGGACAAATATGCGAAAATCCGAAGTCTGGCCGGAGGTTTGGTCCTATTCATTAGAACCGAAAGTGGGAGAAGGACCGAAAGGGGAAGGAGAAAAGGACCGAAAATGGGAAAAAGAAAAGAAGAGGCGAGGCTCGGTCTCGGTTTTAGCAAGTTCGGCTCTCGGTTCCAGCTCTCGGTTTCGGCTCTCAGGTTCGGCTCTCGGTTCAGGCTCTCGGTCTCGGTTCTCAGGTTCGGCTCTCGGTTCCGGCTCTCGGTCTCGGTTCTCAGGTTCGGATCTCGGTTTCGGTTCTTTCTTAGTTTCGGCTGCTTGGTTTCGGTTTCGGCTGCCAGGTCTCGGTTTCGGCTTCTAAGTCTCAGTTTTGACTCCTTGAGGCTGATTTTCGCATTTTTACCCCGTTTTAAGCCGTTTTTAATCTTGTTAAGAGTTGGGATGGCCCAAAAGATTATGAAAAGTTATGGAAACTTTTGAGAGAGATTTGGGAGAGATTTCAAATAGAAGGAGATATGGTGAAAACGATTGAGAGGGGTTTTGTTTGTGATAATTGTGAGTGTTTGGCTCAGAAACGCAAGGTCCGTGAACCCTGTTAAGCCATGTTTTAGGATCTTATACACTCCCGATGAGTATGCAACATTGTTTCATCGTTTTTGTTCATTGTTTAGCACTAAGGCTAAGGAAAATTAAACACACGAATTTTCCAAGTGATGTTTTCTCATTAAAATAGTGAGTTATACAGTAATTACTTAACACAAACCCTAATATACAAGGTTTAATTGAGTTGACCGGTTTTACTCGATGACTTTGTTCGACTTAGACTTGACCCGAATTTGACTATTGTCACATTATATTATTGAGGAATAAACGAGATCAATTTAAAGATCAAATCCATCATTTAAAAGCTCATGAAATGGAAAAGATGTTATCAAAACTTTAGTAGTGATGGGAGAAAGAAGGTGGCTACATCATGGTGGGTTTTGTTATTTTGTATAAATATGTAAATTATTTTGGTTTTAATGTATCAAATATTGAAACTTTTTACTTTTATATTTATTGATTTTAAATTATGGGATTGATGTATATTTTAAGATTCTTTTGTTTTGAATATATAAAATTTTTGGATTTTTCATGAAATTAATTTTTTTTTTTATAATGCTAGGATCCGTGGGTACTCTGTTACAAGAAAATCCATCGGTAATCCGTTGCAGGATATTCTGTCAGTAATCCGTTACTCAGTCGTTCCATCGGTATTCTGTTGCAAATACAAATCCGCTGGAAATCTGTTATTGATTACCAACGGAAATATCCGTCGCTAAATTTTTTTTGTAGCCGTCGGAAATCTGTTACAACAATTAGCAACGAGAATATACTCACGGATTTTGATCTGTTACAATTCCGTCGGTAAAGATTATTAGCGACGGATTACCAACGATTTTGGCCGTCGGTAAGGCTCTTTTTTGTTGTAGCGTCAAATCACCAAGAAAGGGTATAAAGTTGTAATAAAAAAATCAAACATCAAATGATATGATTCTAATAAAAGAATTCTAGAAATCAAAACATTACCTTGTGATTTTCATCACCTCAAAAAAAATCTGAAATATGAAATTTCTATGCCTTAAAGTTGGAGCCTGGATTGATAGCCACTGAGTCATAAACGAATGAAAGAAAAAACACTTGTTTAGACATATATTTGTTTTATATTTGCCATTTTTTAGTTGAAGATAAAACATGGTAGGAGTCGGGAAACAGGAGATTTACATCGTCATTTCAAAGTAACATGGGGAGGCTATCCCGTCTTGTTTGTCCCCTTTTGAAATCCCAATATAGGTTCATCCCATCCTATAAATGTAACACCGAAGGGTTTTTTACTTTTTTTTTTTTTTTTTTATGCTCTAAGCTAGGTGAAATTTAGTTGCATTTTATTTCCATTGTAATCTAGAATTTTATGGTTTGGATTTACATGTGATTTTGGCAATTTCAAACATTTATTCTGGTGAATTAATTAAAATTCTAAGATGTTACGATTTCATACAATGAAAGAACTACCACAAAAAAAAAAAAAAAAAAAAAAAAAAAAAAAAAATTATAAATAAATAAATAAATACATGTATACATATCTGCGATTATAAGTATGAAAGATGCAACGAAAGAAAATGTCAAACTTTCTCTTTACTAATGCACAATCACATATTCACACGATAAACCAATTTACTACACAAATTAAAAAGATAAACACCAACCCTAGCCAATATACCAAAGGTAAATCAATTATAGATTTTCACCTATTTACTTTTACAACTTTCACACAAAATAATAACTTATCGACCTTCATTTATAGACGAATACGAAATAGAATTTCTTGAAAAAACGTATGTAGAACTAGCAGTAGATGGTTTTGTATGATTAGTAAGAATAGAGCTATCATTTGTACCTGTAAGTACGGATGAATCGGAGGTGGTCCACCGCCCCACACGGCCTTGAAGTCCGGGCCTTCCGGGCTGTGGAAGGGTAAAAGAGTCACTTGATAACATAATATGAAGGGCATTCATATCGGGTCTATCCGCAACTACAGCTTGACAACATAACAACCCTAATTGTATGCACATTGCTGCTTCACTTGAACTACATGAATCAAGACTTTCATCCACTAGCTCCAGTTGCTTCCCTAATTGGAAGAGGCTCCATGTCTGCATTATGTAGTTGGACAAATGAGAAAATATCAAGAAAATTACTAAATCCTCGATTTGTCCAGACGAAAATTACAACAAAAAATTGGTATTATATTATTATTAGGTTCGCAAGACAGGAGATATTATATTATAGTTTATATTTTGTGTTGTAGCTAACGTTAATACTGAAATTTCAACTTTTGATAAAAAAATTTATTTATATATAAGATGTGATTGGGAATTTGGGAATGATATCCATAGGATAAAATATTACAAGCTTTTGTCTCATCTAAAAAATGAAATATCCCTATAATTTACGTCAATAGTAAAAACTTATAGTTTGTTATAGAGCATCTCTATCCACTCTTATTCTTCATTTTTTCCCCATTTTCTCCTTCATTCTTCTCCAACCCTCTCCCATTTATTCCCCCATTTTGGGGGATATGAATAGTATTACACCAAATATGGTGGTATACTATCTATTTCCCCCAAAATGAGGATGAACTTTGTATTGTCGGTTTTAGTCCCTCTGTTTATATATTTATATATTTCTAGTTTTTTTTTACCTACTAATTATAATTTAAATATAATATTTAATAATTATAATATTTTATTATATATTAAATTATATTAATTAATTATAAATATAAAATTTGTTTTTTTCATCATATTCATATAAAAAAATTAAATACATATTAAAATTTTAAAAAAATAATAACGTATTTTACAAAAACTTATAATTAAAATATATATTACAAATATGATAGAGGTTCAATTGACAACAGACGAAGACAATCAATTCCAACAATTTCTTACTCGATATAAACGTATTAAAGATAAAGAAGCACACTTCAGTCTACCAAATGCGTTAGTTGATCATTTGTGGGAAATTTATTTCAACGCATAATATGTTATCTATGCATGTATAATATTTATTTAAAAATGTGTATGTCTAATATTTATATAAATGTATGTATAATATTTATTTAAAAGTGTGTATGTGTAATACTTTTATAAATTCATGTATAATATTTATTTATAAGTGTATTATAAATATAATATTGTTTATTTAATATTAATGTAATGAAAAAAAATATAGATTATATATTTGTTAAAACTAAATTAGTAGAGAGGTGTGTTTGCAAATATACGTAAGTTGGAATAATAGAATATACTTTTGGAGGTTAAAAATGAGGGAAAAAATGAAGTAGAGTTGGAAATAAAACACTATTTACCCCATTTTTTACTTTTAGAGGAAAAAATAAGGATAGGTTGGAAATGGTCTCATACATTTAAAAATAATAATAATGTTTGTCTATGCTAACTTGGTCCATGGAAATTAGAAAGTTTATGTACAAAAGTCAAAACACGTGTTATTTTTTTGAAATAATCAATAGTGGAAGGTTGGTTTGTAACTTTGTATATATAGAATGGTTGAGAAATTTTGACTTACATCGGTTAACAAATCTGACTTGTCACTAACTTTTCGACCGCTAACAATCTCCAAAACTAAAATCCCAAAACTGAATACATCAGCTTTCACGGACAAATATCCATGCATCGCGTACTCAGGTGCAATATATCCACTGTATTCAACAACAAATCTTTACAATTTTAAATTTTGAATACTTTTATGTTTTTTCTTTTCTTCATTCATTCTTTAACTAGGGTGAATTTCGTACATATTTTGGTTAAACAACAAAATCGTATTTGCTCAAATTAAAATTTAAATATCGTTTTTTAACTTTTAAAAAATCATATTTCCCCAAATAATATTTTTACACATTCATAATCAATTTATATATTTAGAATCATTATAATTTAAAAAGAAAAACTAGGTTGATCCTATTGCCCTTAAATATCAAACCCCTTTGACATACAGTGAATTGACCAAATTGCCCCTAACCATTTATCTGATTAGGTTAACCCCACATTTGATAAAGCACGTATATACAATATAGGGTAAATTACACGAATCGTCCCTCGTCCAGGTGCCAAAAAGCACGTTTAGTCCCTATTTTCAAAAATTAACTCGAACCGTCCCTGTATAATAATTTTTTCACTCGGATCGTCCCTGTGGACATAAAATGACATTTTTACCCTTAATAATTTCTTTTTTAATTTTTCATATGTATTTATCATTTTTAGATTTAGAAAAAAAAAAAGAAAAAAAAAAAACAAAATACCCTACCAATCAACCCACCTGTCCCGGCTCCCCCTTCCCCTTCGTTTTTCCCCCTTTTCTTTCTACATCATTGAAATCAGGTCTCCAGATGAAGACCACCATCCACCACTCCATCTCTGCTTCTCCGTTCGCCGCCTGTCCACCACCGTCTAAGATCTGCACACCATTCACGAAGTCGCCGACAACCATGAAGTTGTTGGAAACCACAACCACACATCTCTTCTATTTCTTTCTCTACCACCATTGTAGCAACCATCATCGCCTACATCTGTGTTCGAAACCACCACCTCCATCTGCGCACAACCATCACCGTCTTCTCCCTCACACTCGCCTGGCAAAAACAGAAGAATGGATCTACTTTTTTGTTCGCCTCTATCTCCATTTGAAACCTACAGCGGAGGTACATTCCGTCGGAGTAATATGAGAGGGTTCCGTGTTGAATCAAACTCGGCAAAGTTTCAACCTTAAAGAAATCGAGTCTGCCATTACTCACATCTTTGGAAAAAATCAAATCTAACACCACCTGGAGTGTAGATCTGCAAACAGGTGGTGATGGTTGGTGTTTCCGCCTCTCTTCCTTCGGCTGGTGTTTCTACAAGGCTTGGTGGTCGACGGTGGTGGCTTAAGGAACCTTGGGAAGAAGGGGGATAAGGGTTTATCAACGATGTTTTTGAAAGAAAAAAAGTGGTAGTCAACTGTGGTGTGTGGTGGTCCGGCGGTGGTCAATGGTGGTGCTCAGTTGTCCGGTGGTGGTGATGATTTTGCTTTAGGGGAAAGTGAGTTTAGAAGGGAAGGGGTTAGATAAGGTGGGAGGGATGAAGTTTTTATTTTATTTTGTATATTGTTATTAATTGTAAGAAAAATAAAATAAATCAAAAATTAAATAAAAAGGGCAAAATAGTCATTTCATGTCTCGTAAGGGATGAAATGTGTAAATTTAAACTAACGAGGGATGACATGTGCAACTTTTAACCAAATGAAGGACGATCCGAGTTAATTTTTGAAAATAGGGACTAAACGTGCTTTTTGGCACATGGACGAGGGACGATTCGTGTAATTTACCCTACGATATAATATACAGGTCCAAAACCTCCATGGTTTGCAAGAAGCAAATGGCTCACTACCACTTTTGTTTAACCTTTCTCTATTATCATAGAGCATATGGTATAGGCAACGAGAAGTGGTATTTTTGCTGATGTGACATCTCATAACATGGTTATAACACCATAAACACAATTTCCCTCTTGGTGTTATGGCATATCTTGTTGGCGTTATGACATATTGAAACGAGAACATTGATTGGCTACACATTTTTTTTCTCTCTAATTTTCTCCTCTTAACCTCTTCATAACATGGTCATAACACCATGAACATCATTTTCCCCTTGGTGTTATAAGTTGTTATAACACCACCTCAACGGACTCATACCTAATGTTCTTACTCACGGAAAAGAATATCAGCAACACCAACCAAGAAATGCTAAAAATCCAAATGGACTCAAACTAAGCATATCGAAATTAATAATCATAATTTCTAATCTCTAGTTGAAAATCATTACTGTTTGTCATTGACATTTCTGTGATTACAGGTCATGGTCCTTGACTCCTTTTACGATGAAAAGTTTATTTAATGGTGAAACAGAGGCAAAAGGCCACGCGCTCTAATTAAAGCTTGTTGCGTACTTGACCAGATCAAGGGGTTAGGGCAATTAAGGGTTTTTGATATTTAGGGTTAATATATAAATTTAATTCTTTCTTTTTAAATTATAATGATTTTAAAATATATAAAATTGATTATAAATAGGTAAAGGTTAAGAAGGGTAAATACCTTATTTAAATTTTAAATTATATATTTGTTGTTTAATAAGAGTATATATATATATATATATATATATATATATATATATATATATATATATATATATATATATATATATATATATATATATATATATATATATATATATGTTAAAATGTGGATTGACATTTATTGTACGGACGTGTGGACAATGCTATTCTGTGAGAATGACAAAAAAAATATATTGTTTGATAATATGAATACGTTCAATATTATATAATTATTGTAATTGTTACGCATTTTTCACTAATTAAATCGTCTACAAGATTATTATAGACTTTTTTTGTTTAATTATTCTCATTCTATCAAAATATTATCAGGATGTTTATTTAATCATATTCTGTAAAAATGAAAATAAATGAAAAACGATACATAAGAACAAAAATTAATTAGAATTAGTGAGAATCTATTAAAATGACAATAGCTCTATGAGATTAAACGTATTCATATTACTAAACAAAATATTCTCTTAGTAATTCTCATAAAATAACATTATCCATACGTCCGCACAATAGTTCTCCATCCACATTATATATATATATATATATATATATATATATATATATATATTATATATATATATATATATATATATAGGTTCCGTTAAGAATAAAAATAAAATAGAGATCTTGAGGTTCAACCACAGCCACGTATTTCACATATGCCGTTCTAACCTTCCGGCGTACTGGAGCGGCAGGCTTGGTATAATTGATCATACAACGCCGTCCATTTATTTCTCCACCACCACCATAACCGCCACCGCCACCGCCACCACTACTACCACCATCTCTGACACCAGCCACCCCCACCACTGTCACCTCCATTACTTATACCATCTCTACCTTTATCACCACCACATTTTCTGTCACCAACTGTCATAATCATTTATGATTACTCAATATATGAACAGACATATATGTATAATAATTTATGATTAGGCATATACGTATAAACATGTATAATCTTGTATGATTATACCTCTCTATCATATAATCATTTGCCGGTACGCTGGAGTATTAGAGCGGCAAATGAGAAATATGTGGCTAAAGTTGAATCTCAAGATCTCTACTTTTTTTAATCTCAAGTGAATTGTCCCTTATATATATAATCTGTCTAACTTATTTAAACTTTGAGAAGATGCTTACTGGGTACCAGAAATCCGGAACGTATTCAGATGCGTATCATCACCCGGAAAAAGTCTAGCCAATCCAAAATCCGCGATTTTGGGGTTTAGTTTTTCATCCAATAATATATTACTTGCTTTAATGTCTCTATGAATGATCCTGATCGGTGCTTCTTCATGGAGGTAGAGAAGACCTCTTACTACACCTATTATGATTTGAAATCTTTGTGACCATTGCAATGATCCCGACTTTCTTTTATCTGTAATAAAAAAAGTAATTTTTCAAATATTTTCAATGGTGAGGATGACAAGGTATTTATGTCTATTTTTTGTTTTTGAAGATTTCACATTTTTGGGTGGGACAAAAATATGCAATATTTGTTGCAATAACATCCGTTTTAGTTTTGGTCCAGTAAATGTCAAAGGATGTACAAAAAGGTATAGGAATTACCGAAAAGAATGTAATCAAGGCTCTTATTCGGAAGATATTCGTATACAAGCATCTTTTCGGGTCCTTCTATGCAACATCCTAATAACATCACTAAATTTTTGTGCTGGATTTTGAGTAACAATTTCACTTCATTGGTGAATTCGCGAACTCCTTGGCTTGATGTGAGTGATAGCTTCTTGATTGCTACTTCTTGACCATTAGGTAATAAACCCTTCACACACAATCAACGTTTACAAAGAATAACACAAGTAATAGTAACAATAACAATAATAGTAACAATTACATTAATCTTGACTTTTTTAGAGTGTCAAACAAGTTTCTTTTTAATTACAAATTTTCAACGAGCCAAGTTCGATTTTTGTTACGCCTGAGATCAACTTCGCTCTTTTACATCCGTTTATATAAGCAAACATAAACCAAAATTCAAATGTGTGCAACTACTTGTGTTTCTTTATTTTCTTTTGACCATGTAAATAGTAGTAGCTCTATCTCCAAATAATTCTAGTATTAAATTGGCTAATATTCAATAGAACAATTTACTAATAATCAGTTTATTAAATTCCATTATCTTCTTTAATAAATGAAGGTTTTTTTTATCACATGTCATCTTCTCCTTCATTTTAACACTTGTCATTTTGTGAAAATTTTAGAAATTTTATTTTCTATTTGTCATTTTTTAGTGATTTCCATTTTCTTAAAATAAAAAATTATCATAAAATTGTAATGGGTTCTATAAAGAAATAAAATCATCCTATTAATTTGGTAATAAATTATCATAAATACTTTAAACAATTTAGTTTTTTTGCAAATTTTCAGAAGGTTAGATTATGTTATGTAAAGTATTACATTATAAAATATTTTATATTTATATATTAATATTAAAATTTTATTTTTAATAAACCCGTATAATATACGGGTTTTACACCTACTAATAACTATATAGATAAGACTTTGTCCACTGTATAAGAGTTACCGAATCGAAGTATTGAAGTAAATTTTAGGAAAGTCAAAACTGAATAACGATATAAGACTATGTCAAGAACAAAAATTAAAAACATGTTCAGATTTGATTTAGATTTTCTTCTACAAAATTTGAATTTCCAAAAGGAGTGGGTTTACAGTAATTTCATGTTTTATTTCAAGAAATTTGAGTTCCATCGATTCACAATTCTTATCTGATTTCATATCCGTACATCCAAATGTACCCTAAAATATACTCTGTTCATCCCCAAAATAGAAGTCTAATTTGACATTCAAATTGGCATGAATCTTCTTACAAAATGTAATGACACAGGAATAACTTGGAGTCATATAAAGAAAATTATTCAGTTAAATTTTGATTTTGAAAAGTAACACATTAGAACTTTCAATTTCACAAGCGGGAGAGCGAGATGGACAAAAATCAGAAGTTCAAAATGCACAAAGGATTACCTTGTAAACAGGGCCAAACCCACCATGACCGAGTTTATTGAGCTCTGAGAAGAAATCTGTAGCAGCTTGAAGAGTATTGAGGCCGAAAAACAAATCCCATGATTCATGGCGACCGTCGTCAGCGTCGTCTGGATCGTCACCAGCGGAGGCTGCTCTTCTGCATATCAGGCAATCACGTAAACTGGAGAGAAGATTCATGTTGTACGTAACGTAAGCACCATAAATTAGCTCGTGGGATGTCACCAGAAAGTTTGAATGTGGATGATTAAAGAAATTTTGTTGACATCTTCTACCCTGACCCAACAAAACCAATACTAAATTTTTTCGTTGTTATGGTCAATGGGTCAATGTCGATGTATCGGTGTGTTTTTAACTTTTAAAGAAGAGTTCGTGCACTATATATATATATATATATATATATATATATATATATATATATATATATATATATATATATATATATATATATATATATAGGCTTAGGAAATATGTGGCTGTCATGTACCTAATATTAGGTATAGAACCATTAAAAACTACATAGTTTTAACAAAATACGATCAAATCTCTCTACCATTTTTCTTGTATTCTCTATTAGATTAGATAATAGACTTTGTACATATTTTTATGGAGTTTTAAATTTTTTATTTTGCAACACAAACCATGTATAAGAATACATTATCAACTACCTATAAATTTTCATATTCAAATTTAAAATAAAAATTATAGTGAATGATTGAAATTATTCATTAAAAACACAATAAACGTCTTCCAATAACACATCAAAAAGAACCATGCAAGTATACATATGGTTGATGTCAAAGAAAATTTATGAAACCTACTAGATATCTAATATAAAAAACACATTCGAAATCCATAGATATTGGGGATAAATTCTGAAATCAGAAATAATATGATCTCAAAACCAATAGGAAGAAACTAACAATGTCAAAAATTGTGTTTATTTAATCAAAATGAAGTCAATTTTGATGGTTCTATACCTAATATTACATACATGACAGCTACATATTCACTTTTCCCATATATATATATATATATATATATATATATATATATATATATATATATATATATATATATATATATATATATATATATATATATATATATATATATATATATATATATATATATAAGGGAGGGTTCAATTGAGAAAAAAAAAATTGAGAATGGGGGAATCATTCTCAGACAATCATTTATTTTTACCGCAAAAGGCTCCAACGTACCGGCAGAAATGAGAAACGAATGCACATGTGTTTTCCAACATAATATATTTCCTTAAACTATGTTAATCATTACCTTAATATATACAAAATCATAGTTTTTTTCGTTTTTTTTTTAATTTTTATAAGCTATTTTTATCAAAAAAATGATTTTAAATATACTAAAATTCATGATTTTTTATTCTCTACAATAGACATCCATATTGATATAGTTTTAAGATAAAATAATTTTTTTTTATACTTTCATCTATCGTTATTCATAAATGAATAACAATGCATCAGATTTTATTACAGTACATTCGTTATTCACTTATAAATAAAAAGTATGATTTTTTTTTTTTTTTTTTTTTTTTTTTTTTTTTTTACAATTTAAGTATCATTCATATATGAATATAACATATAATAAGCATAATATATTCATATTTTAATATTGGACGATGAATTCACTTGTGAATATTAACATACTATATTCACTTGTGAATATTAGATGGTATATTCACTTATGAGTATTAAATGATATTTCATATGTGAATATTACATAGTATTACATGGTATATCACATGTGAATATTACAGAGTATATTCACTTGTGAATATTAGATTATATATTCACTTATGAATATTACATAGTATATTCACATATGAATATTACAAGGTATATTCACTTATGAATATTGAAGGTATTTTGACAAATATATATAATTTTTATATGTTATTCACATATGAATAACATACAGACTTGCATATTTGTTTTGTGTTTTTAATAATCATATACTGATTCAGGTGAGAAAACATATTCATATGTGAATATAACGTGGTAATTTAGTTTATGCATTTCATCAAACAGTTGTAGTGCAAACAAGTTAACTATTTTAAAAATGTTAAAAACATCAAGTTATCAATTCCAAATCATCATATACTTCCGATTTCGACTTCAGATGCGACATCCTATCTCTGATCGATTTCTCAATTTGATTTTGATTTCCGAAAATCCGATTGGGAACCTGTGAGTACCGATTCTAAGTCCCTCAATGTCGACTGTGATTGCGAGTCCAAAACTCCGATTCCAATTTCATGAACAATGAAGAAATTCCGGTTTAGTTGAAGAAATCTGCATAATTATTGAAGGTTGGAGGAAAATTTTTGATGATGAACGAACAGTTATCGAATTCTCTATAGTTACGTATTTGAGATTGAAGGTTATTATGATATTTACAAATTTGTCACCGTGTCTTTTATGCTTAGATTAAATGAGTGGTTGAGAATGATTCCCCCATTCTCAACCTTTTTTATTTTCTCAATTGAACCCACCTCTCTCTCTTTCTCTCTCTCTCTCTCTCTCTCTCTCTATATATATATATATATATATATATATATATATATGTACTAGGTTATAACCTGTGTACTACACGGTTGACAACGTAAAATAATTTTGAAAGTTAAGAGATGTTACAATCGATAATATAATTAACATTTTTTTTTAAACTTAGACGCATACGTTTTGTCCGAAACTATATAATTATTAATTTAAATTAGTTTTGCAAAATGTTTTAAGATATAAACAAAAATATTTTTTAAGCTTCTAGATTCGCTACAATGCTAATCAGTTGTAAACATTTCCACCATAATCCAATGAAAGTATGATGTTATTTCATGCATTTTCATAGTCTAAAAAAACTAATAAGGGGAGAAAAAACGAAAGTAAAATGATCCACCCCTAAAATCTCTAAAATATCATGCAAGCTTCTAGATATGCCCAAGTAAGGTTATGTATTGTACTATTGTTTGAATCTCATTTGGTTGAATAACATCCGACTAATATTATAAAATTATAGTTAGATTTTTATTTATTAATTTATTTATTTTGAAAAGCGTCTTCTTCAACTAAACTTGTATCTTAGGCTGTGTTTTCAAACTAAAGCTTCTACTAGCATTTATAGAGTTCGTAACGGGAGACAGCTCCTTAAAATGTTCTACATTTTAATTTAATCATTTCAAGTTTCATCATTTCCCACATTTTAATTGCATTTATCCTAAGGTAGAACGGCTTACATAACAACAATGCAACTCAAGGGATGTTTAAACGAAGAAAAAAAAAATGAATAATCAAGAGTATGGAATATGAAATATCACAAGAATATCGGACAATTTTAGAATAGACTATGAATGTATCCAGAGATTTGAGAAGAGAACTAACAATACAAATTAATTGGATTGCAAAAAAATAACCGATACCGTGAGATTATAAAGCCTTTTGAGTGGTGTGGTCAAACCAATACAACCAACACTTATATTGAGGGGGGAAATATGACAACAGGTAACACTGATTTACCAATAGATACTCTCAGATCTAAGATTCCCAGCAATCTCAGTTTCCTACCTGTCCCCGTTTTCAAGCAACTTCTACATGTCATAAAGTAGTTCCTAAAAAAACAAAAACAACTCATGAATCTCATTTTGTGAAAAGAAAGATTAATATAAATAGAGTATTACTGACTACTCGGTGTCCATTAACCTCATGAGTCTGAGTAGCAAATTCAAAGTTAGTGCCTTCTACAATTGCATCAATAGGACATGCTTCTTGGCAAAATCCACAATATATGCACTTTGTCATGTCAATGTCATACCTGTGACCCCAAACCATTACATACATACATATACATATGTATTTATACATTGTTTGGTAGTCAAGTCAATTTAAATACTTAAAATGAATATAAAATACTTAATTTTTGTTATTCATAATATAAATGAACTTGTATAATGATATAATAAATTAATATTTACAAATTTTGGGTTTTAACTTTGTAGAATTAAAACAGGGATAAAATGGTCATTTCATTAAAAATAAGATTTTTATCAAACTATAATGCGTAAATAAGGATGAAAAATAAGTCTTTGTTAATCTTCACTTGTTCTTATTACAACATCGTACTTTCAAAATACAATAACTATTAAGAAAATTTTACCAAGTGTTGTACATTGTAAAATTTTGTTAATATGGCTTTATACTTTGATCAAGGTTGTAGATATGTATAGTAATGAACTAAACAATGCCTAAGATATCAATAAATAAGAAACTTATTTTTTTAAAAAAAATAAGATTTTTATCAATTTATAACACTGATGTATACTGTATGGGTAAAACTGTCATTTCAATTTTCAAAATTGTTTTTCAAATTTGTTGGAAAGTATTATGTTATAAAGTACTTTTCATGTTAGTGTGATGCTATAAAAACAATAACATTAGGTAAACTTTCAATTACAACACAAAAAAAAAATCTTACATCTCGACAGAAACTGAAAAAGTAAAATTTTTGACAAAAAAAAAGTGTAGTTTGGTAAAAAGTAGGATGATATTAAGTATAATGCAAGAAAGTAGGATGTTATAATATACTTACATCTCGTTATTTATAAAATAACCTGGAAAAGTGAAAACTATGTTGCTATTAATTGTAAAGGCTAACAGAAATTGTTTCTTATTTTGAAAACTGCAGCAATAGTCCATCTCTAAATAAAGTGACAGATTGTCCCTTAGTCAAAAAATAACCAGAAATGGTCGTTGTATATTATGTTAAGTGAAATAAAACCCAAAAAATATTCCATGTTTAAATGAATAAACATAAATGGCCTGTTTCTTATTATATAAAAAAATGTAACACCCAAAGTTTGGAAAGCCAAGAAAAGAAAGAAAACCCCAATTTTCAAGGGAGACTCGGCGAGTCCAAGGAGGGACTCGACGAGTCCGAGCGGGATCCGGGTCGTGGAGTAAGCGACCGACTCGGCGAGTCGGCCAAGGTGACTCGGCGAGTCTGGTCTGAACGAGGAAAACCCTAATCCCGGTAGTTGTATCCTATTTAAAGAGTGTTATTGTTGAGATAAAAATCTTTAAGATCGATTAGATCTTTGAAACAGGTATATAAAGAATGTAAAGCAATACTCAAGAATGGATTTGAATATGTCGAATGATTAAAAGTTTCAATCCTTAGCAAAGCTCGATGAAGAACTTCCACTGTAGAGGATCCTAGGGTTACAAAAAGATAACTTGTATAATTACACCGTAAAACCCTGATCTATCAGTTACGTAAAAGATGCATGCAAGCATCTATAAATACACAAAACCCTA